TGGTTGTCAAATGCAAATGAGTTAGACCTTTTTTTTGAACCAGAAATTTTGAACGTTGTTCTTATATTTTTATATTAATAATTAATGAACATTCTTAATTTTTAAAATGAATTCTTCTTAAGTAAACAAATAAAGAATTGATTAAAGAATTAATAATTCTTTATTAAGAATTTATTAATTAACTAGGTTCTTAATTTTTTTGCCACTGGTGAGTTTATTACATGATTATTAAGTTGAAATAAAAAAATAAAAACTAAAATTTGGCCAGGAGGCTGGAGCCAGAATCTGAAGAGTACTGCTCCCGGTCCCTAGACTCCCTGGCCAAGTCACCTCTACTAACTGAGCTTGACTCTGACCAGTTCTTCAATACTTGTCTCTGTGGCCTGGACATCTCTTCTGCTCTCGCTGGAGTTCTGGGCTCCGGGCACTGAGGCTTTGGTGAGAGCCTCATAGACACCCATGGCCTGAGGAGAAGGACAAGAGAGAAAGCTGTAAGAACAATCTGCAGCTTTGTCCCAAACCACACAAAGGGGCTGCTCAACTCTTGTTTTTTCTTTTTTCTTTTTCCTTTCCTTCCTTTCTTTTTTGAGACAAGAGTTTCTCTGTGTAGTCTTGTCCTAGAACTTTCTCTCTGTAGACCAGGGTAGCCTCGAACTCACAAAACTCCACTTGCCCATTGCCTCTGGATTAAAGTTATGTACTACCAACACCTGGCTTTAGTTTTTTTTCTCTTTATCATCATTCTTCTTCTCTTTCTTTTATTTCTTTCTTTCTTTCTTTCTTTCTTTTCTTTCTTTTTTTTTTGAGACAAGGTTGTATCGTTGTGGAGTCTAAGTGGCCTCTAACTTGTGAGCTTCCTACATCTCCTCCTGAGCGCTGGTATTACAGGCATGCACTATCATACCCAGCCCCTTGGTTTTCCTTATCCTTCAAACTTCAGTTTTCTGAGCCTTGCAAACAATTCTAAGAATCTTACAAATCATCAAAGCAGGGTGACTCACAACCCTGACACAGGTATCTGCAGGAGTTAATGGAAACCTTCCTTCTTGGCTTCTGACACTGTTACTGTATGCTTATCTTCAAAAAGCTCTAACCTGAGCCACCATACTCGTGACGTCGCTGGGATTGGAAGGCAGTAGGACTGTGTTGGAATCCTTGGCCAGTTCGGAGAACGCACTGACGTACTGCTCAGCCACAGTCAGCGAAGCTGCTGCATCTCCATTCTATAGCCACAGTGGATAAAAATCAGGGGTCAGAGATTTAGGGAGAGAGGAAAAAGGTTACATTTCTGGAAAAGGGGCTATACAAATCCTAACACAAAGCTCACATAATCTAGCTTGATGGAGCCACAATGACAGGAACTCCCCACAAGGACAGAAGAGAGAAGCCCTTCTACTGTGTATTCCCATCCCCCATCCCCACCTATCCACCCAGCCTCTCACATGTTGAGTCAGAGCCCCAGCCAGAATTCAAATCGCTTCAGCTTCAGCCTTGGCTTTGGCCAGAACTGCACTGGCTTCTCCTGCTGCCTGATTTATCTGTTCAGCCTTTTCTGCTTCGGAGGCCAGTATTTGGGCCTGTTTCTTCCCCTCTGCCACATTGATAGCTGACTCTCGTGTCCTTTCAGACTCTAGAACTGTGGCCCGCTTCCGACGCTCTGCCTCTACCTGCATCTGCATAGACTCTTTCACTCGGGGGCGGGCGGCACATGGATATCCTTGATCTCGTAAAGCAGGCATCGGATATCCCAGCAGTCAGCAGCCTGGTTGATAGCATCCACAATGTTGGCATTCAGGGACTCGCGCTCCCGAAAAACTTTGTCCAGGGAGAGTTTGCCAAGCTCTGATCTCATAGTCGTCTGAGCTAACTGGGTGACAGCATACTCAGGGTCTTCCACACCATAACTTGCCTTGTAAGGATCCATGATGCGCAGATAAAGGACTCCATCTATTTGCAGAGTGACATTGTCAAGAGTTACAGCTGACTGCTCAGGCACGTTGATAACAATTTCCTTGAGACTCTGCACATACCGGATTCGGTCTAACACGGGGACGAGGACGTTCAAGCCAGGTTCCAGGATCCGATGGAATCAGCCCATTCGCTCCACCACCCAGGCCACCTGCTGAGGCACAAACAGTATCACGGTGTTTCGGGGCAGTCCAGAGGAGGCGCGACGCGTAACGCAACCAGAAGCCTGCACGGAGCCCCTCAGCAAAAGGGCTCCAGTGCCCCGCGCCACACACGCCAGCATTTCCCCACAGCTCCAGCGACCTCCGGAACCAACGAGTGGTGGAGCAGAGCGGCCTCTCGTGAAGCCTGAACCCGGTTCTTAAGTTTTGTAATTACACTTTTATACTTGTTCTCATTGTAAATAGTTGATGATGTCAGAGAAAGAGCCTTTTATAGGACTAAAGGGGGCAATGTTGAGGTATTGCTGTTGTACACTGTGTGAAGATGAGTCTCTGTCCTACCTTGCCTACCTAAAGCACCTTCCGAGTGGTAAAATAAAAAACCTATGTCCTGTAGAAAAGGAGAGTAGAAGGCAGGACTCTGATCAGAGAGAGGAACTCTGGGAAGAGAGAAGCATGGCAGATTCACCACCCAGACTCTGAGAAAACAGGATGTGTGAAACTGAGGAGAGGTGACCAGCCACATGGCAGAACTTAGAATAGTATAAATGGGATAACTGAATATGAGAGAGCTGGGAACAGGCCTAGCATAAAGCCTAGGCATTCATAAATAAATGTAAGTCTGCTGTCATTATTCAGAGCAAGGGCGGGCCAGCAAAAATGTCCCACAGATGCAGCAAGAGCAAGCAGACAAAGAGCAAGCCTTTCCTTCCATGTCTTCATGTAGGCTTTCAGCAGAAGGTGTGGCCCAAATTACAAATGGGGGAAGGGTTCAGTCAAATATTCTGGATTACAGGTGTGTCTCCCTACCTCAAAAAGGATTGATCAGAAATCGATCTTCCCATTTCACATTAAGCAAAAACACCTCACAGATGTTATCCTCCATTTTGGGGTTTTAGCTCATTCCACATGTAGCTGATATCAAAGAAACAACATCACAGTCCCTGTCAGAGTTCTGGAACTGCTCTGTTTGGGGCTTTGCAGCTCCTTTTAGCACTCATGGCTCTGCCTCCTACCTCCCCTCTTACAGGGAGTTTTCTTCCCACGGGTGGAAAAGCATGGAAAGTTCTTCTGGATGTAAGTTTGATGAGCACAGGGCAGCATGAGACCTGAGACCCCGGGACAGCTCAGCCAGCCTGGATCCCCTTTACCCTCAGCAATGTGGGCTCAGTCTGAGTCCGCTGTGGTTCTTCCACCAGGGGGCGCTGTTGCCCAGGAACGTGATGCTTCTCTTTCATCTTCAACAGGTGAGACCCTGGAGGGTCTGCAGTGGGAGGGAAGATGGGGAAAGGGGACACTTTTCTCTGCAGGAATACTCTGGATGTTGGGATGTCATGATCTGTTACAAGTTAGCATTCAAATGAGTGGAATTTATCTTGTTCATCTGGAATCAAAAACTAACATTACCTCAAGTGCAAAGATGAACACACACTGTATTTTCTTCCTAGGATGAGGCTGTGATCCACTGTGCATCGTAGGTACATAAAATGAAATATATTTTGCATTTTTAATTTTATGGGTTTTTTGGAAATTGTCATCTCAGTATGCTCTATTTGAATCATCCATTCCTATCCTGTTACAGAGCTCTCTTCATTGGCTGGTGGTACAGTACTGTCTAAACAGCCTGTGCCCTCAGCTCCTGGCCTCACAGTCTAGATGTTTAGGAGAAAGAGAAGCAGTATTTTTCAAATCATATTTTTTAAGTTTGATTTTTATTAGATGTATTTTTTATATGAGTATAGGTACACAACCCTTGGGTGCATGGAACAAAAGTTACAGATGGTTGACAGTCACCATGTGGTGATGGGACTCACCCTGGATCCTCTGCAACAGCAACAAGTGCTCTTAGCCTCTGAGCCATCTCTCCAGCCACTACTGGAATGTTTACACAAGGAACCCACACAGCTGATTCACAGCATGCTGCCTGAACACTGAGAGAAACTAGATGCACAGGAAGAGACAGTGTCAGTGCAGAGCTCAGGAGGGAGGGGTGCTGGGCACTGATGGGGTGAGGACTGAGGGACAGAGACAGAGAGGGGCTGAGCAGGAGGAGACAGAGGCAGAGGGGGAGATGCTAACTCAGCAGAATCCCCTGTTTGAGGGTATTTCTGTTAGACTGCACTGGACACATCTGCAGAACCATGCTGGCATCTTACATTTCATAGTGAACGCTGTGCTGGTTTGAATGAGAACAGCCACACAGGCTCACAGGAAAGAATACTTCAAATCCAGCTGATGGAACTCTTGGGAATGGATTAAGTGGTGTGGCCTGGTCAGGGAAGTGTCACTGGGGCTGGGCATTGAGGTTTAAAAAACTTCCAGACTTCTAGCACCTGTGGTTGACTGTGCCCAGTTGACTGCACAGCCATGAGCAGTGGGATGACTGGACTTTAATGGCACAGGAGGTGGGAAGCTGACCCAGGGCCATTATAGAGCAGGTGAAAGTGCAGATCACCATAGTCAATGCCCAGGAGCTGCTGAAGAAGATGACTGACAGGAGTTTCAGGAAATGCATCAGGAAGCCTGAGGCTCCTTGGATAACTCAGAGCAGGAATGCATCACCCTGCGCATGGACTGCTGCATGGATGCCTTGAACACTGTGTCCTAACCCTACAACTCTCGACTACAGAGGGAACAAGCCAACATGTGACCTAGACCTGTGCCTCAGGACACTCAGAAGAGAGCGAGGACCAGTGTGAGTGGAGGAATCTGGCTGCCCCCACTGAGCTGTGACCTCATGAGAGCAGGTCAATAAATCCCTGATAGGAGGGTGGGGAAGGGGGACTCCCACTGTTCCCAGAGTCTCTGCCTCTGGTGTGCAGATAGAGATGTGAGCTCACACTGTTCCTCCACCACACCTTTCCTCTGCCATCATGGACTCAAACTCTCTGAGACTAGAGAACAGATTAAACACATAGTTATAAGTTAATGGGCTCACAGTGTCTTATAGTCATAGAAAAGTCACTAAAGCCAGGTGTGATGACACAAGTCTTTAATCTCAGCATTCAGGATGCAAAGACAGGTGGAACTCTGTGAGTTCAAGGCCAGCCTGGTCTACATGGTGAGTTCCAAGACAGCCAGAGCTGTGCAGACAGACCTTATCTCAAAACAGAATAAAATAAGAAGAAAAGTAACAAGAGACAGGCCAGCACATCCTTAGGTTAGTCAGGGTGAAACCTAAGAGCATCAAGTTCCCAGGGAAACAGGGAAGAGATCAGGTCAAACTCCACAGAATCAAAACCTGCATGTATTTAATCTTTCCCTGCACTACTGATCAGGGATGAAACCTCACATCACCAGTGTGTACTCTCTGGCATGAGAATCATCTTTCTTCCAGTGTCCACACTGCACAGGCCTGAAGAACTCTGGGGCCAACTCTGTTATCAGATCCAGTGTCCCACACAGCTGTGACACTCAAGTGCCTCGCCTCAACAGCTCATAGTGTGAGTGAAGGTCAGAGAGGGACTAAGAGGGTCACAGATTACATAACTTCTACCACACTATCATCATTATTCTGTGTTATAGTTAATTACAGTTTTTCTCCTACTGTGACTGAGTCACTAAAGCAACTGTACCATGGAAGTGGGGACACAGAGCACATGTAGTGTAGACAAGAATCAATGCCTGCTGTCTGTGGTCTCCACAGGTTCCCAGTGGACAAGAGGGTCTCCTGTGCTGAGACAATGACCCAGATCCACGTGGACAAACCAAGACTAGGAAGGGAGATCTTTGTAAAACACAACCACCTGGAGCTACAGATACTTCTTCTGTGAGGAAACACAAGTCTAAGCCGAAGGCTAAGGAGACAGAATCCTGAGGGAAGAGGCAAAACCTCCCCTTTACAGATGAGAGTCACTCAGGACTGGCAGTGTGAGCCACTCTCTCCAGGTGAACACAGCCTGATCTCTGTAGGGTCCGTGTGGGGCTTGCAAGCTAGCACCTCTGCTTTAAGGAAAAGCATCTCTCCACTGCATCCCCAACTGCTTTTTTTGTCATTGTATTCCTGGAAGTGGCTATGAAGAAGCCTAGCAGCTGGCACTGGCTTCAGCACTTCCCTAGAAACTTAGTGGCTAGCACAATCCTCAGCACTTCCCCCTCAACCCCATGCACACAGAACCCCACCCCATTCCTTCCTGCTACCTGACTGTCCCAAAAGATGCAAAAGACCCATAAATTCTCATTCCAATAGCAACTTCCTAAGTGTGAACCCTCATCCTGGGAATGATGGTATCAGCCTGAGAACAGATAAACAAATGCAGCTTTCAGTCTCCATGCCACCAAAATTGGCACCCTCTCTGATGGATGGCCAAGCACTCAGTCCTAGGCTTGCTGTTTCTACTGCCTGTGCCCATTGCTGATTCCAGTCTGTGTCTCCATACAGAGACCAGAAACCCACACCAGCCCTTTGAACTGACTTGGATAATTGAGAATCCTGAAACTGGTTACTGGGCACAACTGGCTGGCACACACACACACACACACACACACACACAGAGAGAGAGAGAGAGAGAGAGAGAGAGAGAGAGAGAGAGAGAGAGAGAGACCACTCAGAACTCCCTAGTTCCTAGACTTGATATTTGATGTGTGCTGGCTAGCTGATAATTCGTGGTCTGATACTCAAACAACTTTGCGACATTCATATCCTCCATGTTGGTGGAAGACATTTCATATATGTCCTGGAAAGAGAAAGACTGCTACCTGCATGGGCCCAGAACAGTTTTACTGTGCCTCCTGGGGGATTAAGACATGGAAAGTGTCCAGGGAGAATCTAATCACGCCCCAGCAAGGGGATGACTCCAAAGTTCTGTTAAGATTTACAGACAAAGGAAAACAGGCAAAAGGACAGGAAGCTGGGAGATGCTGGGGACTTTGGCTCCACGTTGTTGGGGGAGTCAGTCCTGGGCTCGTTTTGACAGTCAGACTTCTGATAAAGCCAATTACAAACCACTTGCTGGTAGCTGTAGGCCCAAATCAAATTTTGGCAAACCCTAAAGACTTATGAAAGAGCCCTACCTTGAAAAAGGCAGCGCCCACATCAACCCTCAGACCAGCAGGCACTGCTTCCTCAATCCAACAGCCGCAGGGATCTCCAGTCCCAGAACTTTTTCTAAACCACACAGAGCCAACAGATCCCCTCTGGTCAATGATGAAATACCTTCCAAATTCTAAATGTCTCTCAACCACTTCTTGTTGCCTATGTTATAATGCCAGACCCCCTTTTTATGAAGGCATTGGATTAATATCCTAATACGATGATTCTGAAAAGGACACTGACTACCTGCAGATTGTGCCTGGAAAGACCGGATTTGACTATGCAGACCACACTGGGGCAAGACATATGCCTGGGGAAGGTCCTCCCATCACACCAGCATCTCTGTAATGGAAGTATACCCTACCTGCTGTTCATTCCAAATGGGTTATCCACCCCCTCCCCCAAACAAGCATGGTGGGCTTGTTCGACAGGGCTAACTCCATGTGTGCATGGAGACATCCTTAATTCCCCTACTACAAAAGAATTTTGCATTCTAGTCCAGCTGGTCCCCCATATAACCTATTATTCAGAAGAAGTGGTGCTAGAGAGCTTAGTGGGACATGTCGGGGGAGACCTCATGAGTCAGAAAAGAGAACCTATCTCTCTGACCTTAGCAGTGATTCTGGGAGCAGGACTTGCAGGGGCCAGTACTGGAATAGCTGCACTGACATTACAAGAAAAGAACTACTGTCTTCATGCTAGAGAATGAGAGTCAAGAACCATCACTGTGAAGAATGCATCCCAACAATCCACTTCTCACACACAGGAGATTCTGGGATCTCCTGAAACCCAATCATGTCCACATTTCCCTTCCCCAATCAGGCCCCAGAGTGTCACCTTTACAATCTGGGAAAGACATCAGAGCTCTGGGTGCTGTCCCTGTCTAGGGTAAAACAAAACACAAACACACACACACACACACACACATTCATATCAAGGTATAACACAGGCCCCCAGAAAATTTCTCTAAAGAAGCTATCATGGGTTACCAGAACTCCCCACCATCTCCAGCTTCACTCTAATCACCTCGGGACAATCGGGCCACCCACACTTACCTGGAGCCAAGGTATAGATACCTCCTGTTCCACCAGTGAGAAGGAAAGTTGTGAGATTTAAAGGAAGAGTCAAACCCTAGAAGTTTCCAGAACTGAGAAAGGACCCACATTGGAGACAGTAGCAATGAGGATTGTGGATGTGTTTCCAATTAATGAGCAGAACACACTTCTAAAGGAGGCTGAGAGAAAACTCAGACTCTTCCCTTTCCTACCTGTGTTTCTCCTCCTCTTCATAACAAAAGCCACCACAGTTCCAATGATGGCCACAGGTCCAAGGACAACCAGAACAGCAATGATCACCATGTTAGAGTCAGAGGATGGAGGAGGCTCTGGGAAGAACAAGTACAGAAAATAAAGGTGAGGGTCATGATCCCAGGTCTCTCCCCTGACCATCTCAGGGTCTGCAGAAGAATTCAGCTTTCCCTGATCCCAGCTCTGCACCCACATCCTCCTTACCCCAACTCAGGGTGACGGGCTCAGGAAGACCCTCATGCTCCACATGGCATGTGCAATTCTGCTCCTTCCCAAGAGGAACCACCACAGATGCCCACTTCTGGAAGGTTCCATCCCCTGAAGGCCTGGTTTCCACAAGCTCCATGTACTGGGTCAGGTCCTCCCCATTCAACTGCGAGGTCAGGGTGATGTCAGCAGGGTAGAAGCCCAGGGCCGAGCACCTCAGGGTGACATCACCTTCTTGTCTGGGGTGATGGGTCACATGTGCCTTTGGGGGATCTGTGTGGAAGATTTAAGAAATCCCACAATTAACAAGACAAAATGAAATCTACACAAGACTCAGTTGAATCAGTGATGACACTTAACTACCTGTCTGTTTGAGCACTTTAACTGTCATTGTGCTAGTGACCAGCAGGTAGAGTTGGTTCCCAAGCACAGAACTGTACATTTTTCTGGGGACTCAGAAACTAAGAGGGAATCCACATGAGCCAGTGGGTCAACATGATCGTCCTTCTGTGATGTTCTATAGCATGAGACAGGTAGTCAAATAATGGAAGATGAAATGGAAAATATATAATTTATATATGTGTTTGAGTTCATATCAAAATTAGAAATTAGAATCATATGATCCTAGAAGGGAGCCAGCACTGAGACTCAACCACTGTGGTCATCTTAGTGACCAGCATTAACTATCAGTCCTAGTGAACAGCCATCACAAAGTGTGTAGCAGAAATCTAGTGAACCTCTGACACTCAGCCAGAGGAAATGACTCTCAGCCCCTGCCTCTGAGGTGACAAGATACAGGTGTGTTACTCTAGAATCTCTAGAGTATGCTGTGGACCCCAGTGCAGCACTCACTGGAACACAGCAGGCTCACAGGGTGTGAATCTTCCCTCTCACTCCAGCCCTGGATTGCAGAAGACTCTGTCTCTCAATTCCTGATTCCAGTTCCTGATTCACCAGGGGAAGTACTGTTATTTATTGGACAGAGGAAGTGCAGAAGGCTTCTGGATGTTTAGTTCTGACAGGAAACAGTTTAAATTCACAAGAATCTCTCCTTTAAGAAGAATGCTGATTTAACTTGTCTAACTATTCAGGTTAGCAGTCTCCCCTGGGACCTGTGGAGACTGATACAAATGATAATACAAGGGCATGGAGAAACAGGATCACTCCAGTGCAGACAAAAAATGACTAGAAGCAAAATAATGCCTTGAAAAAAAAGGAAAGAAATAAGAAAATAAATAAGTAAAATAAAAAACATAGAAAAAAGAAAAAGAAATTCCACAGTTTATATTCCTCTAGGGTACCACATAAGGGCTTGCTACGCTTGTTTAAAACGATCTTCATGAGATTTAACCAGAGAACAAAGTCTATGATGGGCATTACTGAGACAACCTTTGTCAATGTAATTAATCCAAGTCTCTTTACCTTAGCCCCAGGTAGACTCTTCCAACAACAGCAAAAATTACCCACATTCTTCACCAAAATACCACAGAACAGTCTCTAGGTCACATAATGAAATTCTCCACTGAAACCTCTTGGGCCAGATCTGCACAATTCAAATCACTCTCAGTAAGAACGTCTTTCATATTCCTACTAGGTTAGCCTATTAAGCCCCATTTAAAGCATTCCGCTGCTTTCCAAATCCACAGTCCCCAAATCCACATTCTTTTTTTTTTTTTTTTTTTTTTTTTTTTTTT